GGTGAAACTCAAAAGATAGGTTGTATGTCAATATAGAAGAAATGGGTGAAAGATTAATAAGCATAAGAGAAGAATATGTTATTGAATTAATTAAAATAGTGATCTACTACTGTACCAGAGAAAGTGAAATAGGAAAAAGCAATAATAATAAAAACAACAGATAATAAAATGATAGAACAGTTATAAAAAGATTAATACACAAAGAGACGTAGACTGGTTAGAAGAAACAAGCGTTAATGCAAATTGTACAATGAATTATTAAAATTATGTTAATAAGAAATATTGAATATTTGGTGTAAATAACAAATTAAAACTTAAACAGCTATATTTGGCACTGAATTTAAATAACTTCATTTAAAAAAAAAGAATAACTTGAAGCAATTAACTTGTTCAATTGCTAATATAAATAAAGCCTGAATATTAGATAAATTACAAAATTAGTTAAATTTTTCAAATAAAATTATTATAAAAATTTAATCTTTTAAATTTTAGATTATATATTTAAAGGAATAATTTCTAAACCTTCAAATTTTTCAGAACCTAATGGTTGTTCTTCCATAACTATCTCTCCATTGACATTTATCATACCAACAAATGACTTAAATTTATTATCAACTTCATATGATTTAAGATAAACTAAAATATCTTCATTGAATGGAAGAACTTTGATGCTTGAAAATCCATGAGTTTTGTCATATTGTTTGTCTTCAATAAGTCTTGGATTATTTAAATTTTCATCCAATTCAATAATATATTTACAGCTATTCAATTTTTCATCTTCTTGTTTATCATAGGCTTTATTGCTACATTTTCTTGGAGCAAAATACCATTTTTTCTTTAAATTTGAATATACAACTGCTTCATTTGTAATATATCCAGGAACTTCAATATTTAGTGCATTTAGAATATTGTTATATACACCCGACCAATCCTCATATTCAAAACTACCTTCTTTATTAACTTTTTGGACATAATATTTATTGGTCCTATCAACCCTTCCTAATGAGTCATACGTATTTGGCCCATGACTTCCTACATACAATTTATCACCTACCACTGTTGCCCATTCATTTTTTGCACCTGATGTTTGATTTCCATTTCCATCAGCAATGATAATCCATGGGTAGAAGTTTTTATGTTCTAAGTCTAGCTGAGCAATAACACCTGTCTTATCATCAAAGACATAAAGGTTATTGAAATATTGGATAACTTCAGATAATTCATTACCTCTTCCATTATAATTTAATTGGGTTTGGGTTTGAAAACTCTTTTGTGTATTTTCTGTAAAACTCCATTTATTATCTATTTTACTAATCATACCAAAATGGATTTTTGAAATAAACTTATTATCTTCAACATTATATTTATCATTGTCACTTACATAAATTAATTGGAATGCAAAAGAATTTTCATTGTATGTGGAATAACCTGACATTGATTCTGGATAAACTAAATCGTTACTCTTAAGAAAAATGGATTTTAAATGGCTTAGTCTTGAATTAGACACTTTTGGATAATCATATATAACTAAAACTTCAAATAAGAATAAAGTAATAACACCAGCAATAAAAATACTAAAAAGTAATAACTTCTTCATCCTATCTAAATAACTATTTTAAGTTCAGTCTAAATAGTTTATTATGAATTTAAATATTTTGAAAATCATTAATTATAAAACATAAAAAAATAAATTTTTTATGTTTTTTACAACATTTTAAAAAAATTTGTTATTTTTTATCAATAAGGTAGATTACTCTAAGATTATTTTTCACATACTTAATACCTGAAAAGGATGAACTGTATTAAATGATTTGGTTGCATAAATATATTAAAAATAAGAAAAATATTAATTAAACATAAATACACATGATATTTTTAAGGATAGATTTTTACGTCAGAACTCAAAGATATTAAAAGTGAACATAAAAATAAAACCACTCAAATTATAAGGACAAATCGTGATGAAATTCAAATAAAAATAACAAGAACATTTTAGAATCTTAGATATTCCACATGTTTCTCTATAAATAGGTGGAAACTAGTTTTTCCAGACAATCATGTCCAGTAATAAATATGCTATTGCTAAGCACACAAAAATTGCTGATAAAATTTATGTTGACCATGTTGTTAAAAAGGATGAAATAGATAAAATTCTTGATGACATGTTTGATTTTGATGAGGTTGATTTTGATATTAACTCATCTACTTCTTCTGAGGCTATTGAAGAAAAACAGCAGCTTTCATGTTCTTTTACGCAGTTGTCTTTATAGATTCAGATTATTATGTAATTCACATCAACAATGATTTTTGGAAGATTTTCATTTTGTCGTTTTTTTAAAAATAGAATTACTACTTTTTAATGTATTTTGTGACAATTCTACAAAACTAACACCCTATTATTCTGTTTTTTTTAATAGAAAATTGGAACATTTTATCATTAAGACGTTATAACGATATTATCCACTAGTTTAAAATCCTATTTATAAAACAAAACCATAAAATTATAAACATTACTTTTTTATGTAATGCCATTTTAGTTACAAATCTAACTCTTCACATTATTGGTATTGATATGTCTTATTTTTAGAACTTAATTCTTAATAATTTATTACTAAATAGAATCTAAAACCTTCCTTTTAGATACACAAAACTTATTTTTTGGTGTAAATAAATATTGAAAATATCTTAACATATTATCTTTCAAAAATTGAAACTATTTCTGTTAATTATGAACGTAGTTTATTTTTCTTTTATTAATTTCTTTGGATTCAATGACATTATCATTAAAATAAAAATAAAATTTGTAACTAAACAATAATCAACAAATTTTATTTTTAGCACAAATTTGTGTTTATCAATCCAAAAAAAATTAATGTATCACTTTTAGCTATTTTTACACTTCTGAACTAATACAAACAATTTTTGGTTATTAATCTTTTGTAAAGGTTACATCATCTTTTTTTGAAGCACTTGATAATTCAGTAATTAGAATTGATTATTTAACACTTAGACATAAAAAACAAATTTATGAATAAAATAGTTTATAAATATAAAATATAAGTATATTATACAAACAATATGAATAAGTCAGATACACAAGAAAGTCTCTGAACTAAATTTTGCATTTACTGTATCAACGAAAATTTTTTTCAAGAAAAATGCTTAACATTAATTTTTCATAAGAATAATTTTATGGATAAATAACATTTTATAAGAAATAATTTTTTGATAAATTGTTATTTTAAAAAATAAAAGAAAAATAATATAATGAATAATAAAAAAGAATAATAAAAAAAG